ACTGCTGATTCTGAGTTCCTGTTTGTTAGATATGCGTGAATTACTCACAGATACACAAGCATAGAAGAGTTAGGTAGCATTACATGCTTTGGTTCTATGTAAAGCTAAGAGTAATAGCTAAGTATAGAGGGCTTTTTATCTTCAAAGTCCTTCATGTATGTGATCTTCCCCCAGGGACTGAAAAAATATTATCTCTGCTCTACAGGCAGGCAACCTAAGGAGATACAGCAAAAAAAATTGCCAGAAGTCACAAAGGCAGAGCCACACTGACAACAAGGAGGTCCTTTCTCTTCCTTCTGTGTTCAGGCCATGCCTCACCTCCGCAGAGCAGCACCACCTGTTATCATCTGTTTGCACAAGCTGAGACTCTGGCCTACTTAGAAAAAAATAAAATAAAATTAATTCATCTCAGTGACAGCTGCCTGGTCAGTTTCCTGAACGGCAGTTGTGTCACCCCAGGATTTGGGCTACAGAGAAGAGAAACTTCCAACCGACTGGACTTTCACATCTCAAAGAATTAAGGAAAAACACCTGTAAACTTTTAAGTGTGTATTTGTGTACAGTGCTGGAAGTCCACCAGACTATAGCCACCAGTGTGGAATTTCGTTTTAGCAGAATGAAACTCACAAGATTTGCCTTCACAAACTCAACCTACATTTTAAATGCAAGTCATCAACACCACCGGGTGCCTGCTGCCCTGCCAGGTGAATGCCACCGTAAGAGATGGGTCCCCTACCCAAAACCTGATGCTGACCTTCTCTGGGTTTTTTTCTGCAACCTAAAACCACCCCACACAGAACACGTGTCTCAGCCCCAAGCCAGGGTGCCATTTTCTCTTGGCTGGACCTACCTGACCAGGCAGCTACCCAGAGTCCATCAGCATTGCATTTCACTCTTAACCCTACAGAGGATACATCCTATTTACTCCCTGCCTTGAAATAAAGCAGTGAATACTCAAAAAAATGCAAGAAATAATCTGTTCCTTTCAGTCCTACAACAGAACATAGATTCATTATTATGATATTTGTTTAGAGAGCAGCTGTCAAACTGAAAAGCCAAATGCAAACATGACAATATCAAAGGTGGAAACCGGGGAGAGCATGTGTCTTCAGAGCTGCTCAATTTTAAGGACATCCAGTAACATTTTTAATGCATAAACCACTGTGCAGGTAATCTCCAGCCCCACTCTAGAAGTTTGTCACTTGCATATTCTTGCAAGAGAGCCTTACCTCTCCATAAGCAGAATAAAGACCCATAGCCTTACAAGGGGTGCTCTGGTCAGTGTGCAGTCCCCACAGAACTAAAGCCAGAGAACACAGCTATAGTACAGCACATTGCCTAGCTGTATTTGCATAAATCTAGGGCCAAAGCTTAGATCCTTAAAATGCACATCCATCTGCCACCAACACTCCTGATTGCAGAGAATGGCTACACAGGTCTTAGTTCAGCAAGTGCAAACAATAAGGAACACTGCCCAACATTTACAGTGATGATCCCCAGCAAAAGAGACTGGTCCTTCAGCTCTTCTTCCTATTGCTAATGCTTAATACCTAAATACTCAAGACAGAAGAGGGAACGAAAACTGGATTTCCCACAATCGAATGCTCTAGGTCCTAAAAGAAGGAACAGAAGGGGAGAAGGCAGAGCCACCTCTGGACCCTCTTACAGCCAACACAAAGCCTCAGACCAAGACAGGCACCTTCTGGCATCCACAGACAAGTGTCTGTCCCCACAGGAGAAGGGCTAAAGCTGCACTGCTCTCCTCAGCATTTCTGCCAAGCCTGCCTAAAGCAACTCTTCCTAAGAGAGATGTCTTTTAGGGTCATTACTGGTTGTTCACACTTCCCTCTATACTAGAAGTAAGGAAATGTTGCTCAGAGTTAGTATACCTGTACCTCCTCAGTGTACAACCTTAACAGTGTTCCTGAAACCTCATATGCTCCATCACACCACACTACCTCTGAACAGTTGTTCCCTTCAGACAGTCCTTTTGCAGGAAACAACCGCTCTGGGAGACAGAAAGGATCTGAGTTGGGTATTGTCAAACAACAGAAGCACTCTCAGAATATAAAGTGACAGGGAGCAGCAAGAGAAAAAGGGCAGATAAGGCACAGCATTACAAAACTTCTATGTCCTGATTTTACATCACAAGTTAGGAGAGGAGCTTGCAGATGTGGAACAGCAGTGCTTCAGAAATCACCACCCTGAAGGAGATCAGAGGCACAACTAGTCCAGAGCAGTGTTCAAAAATCAGTGTCAAGTACAGCTACACAGGAATCTGTCCATGGGGGAAGCTTATTCCTAATTCTTATCCATCACAGAACCGTTGCATGTGTGGACACACTGATCAGAAGGGTGAAATTACTGTATCCTGGAGTTTAAGACTTCTTTATGTGTGTGTTTCTCTACCTTAACAGAATAAGTAAAGCAAAATAAGCAGAACAGGATGTAATGATTATATACAAGCAACCTCACATAAGTATAGAGAAGGCACTTAAGAGACAGCAGTGTAGTTGTAAGCTTCGAGACCAAGGATGGCAGTTACAA